ATCATCAACACATATTGCATCCAATTTGTCTCATATTGAAAATGTAAATTCGTTTTTGCGTTCACGAAATATGAACAGGAAGAGCATCGACTCCTTTCCAGTGTCCTTTCTATCGTCTATGGCAACAAAATCGGAACCTAGGGACGAAGAGTAAGTACAATAACAGGCGTAAGAATACTACTCGGATGTTTTGAGCGGTAACATCTAGTGAACCAATTTTGAATCCCTCTAATGTTTATTGCGGCTTCGTGTTAGAAAAGATGTTGGCATTCCCCAGCTGAACTCAATGATATTCACACATGAATTTTCAAGGGAACGTACAGAAGCCGACAAGAATTTCCCACAATTTTCACAATTTTTCGTACAGTCACCAGCACACGTGGTCGACCATGTGCATATTTGCAGTTCGTTCAGGGATCCAACGCCGTCACCATCACCGCCTCCCTCGATCGTGGATACAGACCAGAGTTTGTTCGAGGGTGATAGATTCCGTCCCGCAAGGCTGTTCCCGATCGGTGAGTTACTCGGTAAGGTGTGCCCATTCGGTGTACGAATTGTCTTCAGGTTTGACCGTAGATGATCCAGTGAAAGCTGGGCTTGCTTGTCGGCAGACGAAACCGCGGTGGCGGAGGAGACCTGTGGTAAGTTGACTCAAAGCTGTCTTTTCACTACCGCTTGCCTCGTGGGGTTCATTCTTGACGGGCGTAAGAATGGATTATTTGTCAGTTACAAGCGAATGGCCTCACGACCTACCACTGGGAGAAGATACCAGAAGTCGAGCAGGAGGCGAACGCGCAGAATCCCGAAGTTCGAGAAAATGCTGGGGCTACTGCCGAACTCCCTGTAAAGAAGGCGAAGCCATTCATGGGAGAAGAAGGACTCATGCCTGACGTCTTGGACCAGAAAATTTGGGTCAAAATAAAGGAGGATGTTGAGAAGCGTTTTAAATGTAATCATATGCTTAGTGATTATTTGGACGATTTTCATCAGGTACCTGTACACACCGTACAACTACAACGAAGCCCCTCTTCACTCAAGAGGAGTGCCAATACCTCCTCGAGGCTGCAAAGGTCTATGGTGGTCACGAGCGGTGGCCAGTAGTGGTTGACCGTTGGGTCACACGGTGTGACTCTGACCTCAACTCCAATCACTGTGAGTCACCAGCCGCGTCCTGTGATTGTGGAACTTTCCGCTGTC